ACACACACACACACACACACACACACACACACACACACACACACACACACACACACACACACACACACACACACATATATATATATATATATATATATATATATATATATACCGGATATTAGTGAACTGCTTTTACTGCAAATTTTACATGATTAAAAGCAAGCACACTTTTAAGTAAATATCTACGTTCAAGCGGGAAAGTCGATTTCTCCTTTCGCGCAGAAGCTAAGACTTAGGTTGAATAGGGATTTAAGTTATTCGACTTCAGGTTGCATCTGTTCAATAGAATTTCAACTTAGAGACAGATCACGTTTTACGTAATGACTCTTCTCGGCACGTTGTGCTAGAAAGTCCACTCTAAATTTGTCAAAGAATCTCTCATTGAAATTTGACGGATAAGAAAAAAAGCCTGACTTACTTCATTAAACAATAAAATCTATATTCAATAATCCATATTGAATACTATATTTCAAATACAATATTTTAAAACGCACGTGTATTTCAAATACAGTATTTTAAAACGTACATGTATTCAATATGGATCATTGAACATGGATTTTATTGATTTTGTTGATTTTATTGATTTAATGAATATAGCAAGTCAGGCTTTTTTTTCTTATCCATCAAATTTCAATATTAAATGCACGTAATTTTAAAATACTGTATTTCAAATACAAATATTTGATCTTGGAATTTGATCTTACTTAATAGCAATTGTTAAAGTAACTTATGGAGTAAGATGATTACAAAATCGTTCTAGAACAATTAAGAACGATTCATTACGAAATAGGTCGAAGTTAAACAAAAGAGAGGAAAAAACAGGCAGAGAAACGTATTTTGCATTTTGCCGTGCTAAGATTTTGCATTATTCCCTTATAAAAATGTAATACTGATAAGTAATAATTTGGCCAGTGATAATTACTTATCAGTATTACATTTCTATAAGGGTTGAATTAGTTCTGAAAAATAAGAAAAAGACTACACATTAGAGGATTTATTATGTTAAATTACTTTCTCTACAAAATACACAGTTATATATTTATTTATACAATATGATTGTATTAAAATAGAAAATGTTTTAAAATTTTTATAAATGCATAACTATAAACATAAAGTCATGAAGATTTCTAAAATGAAGGGTAATTTACAGGCAATGGCGAGCTTCATTAATTCGACGGCGAATTTCATCAACAATGCATACGACTACTACCTCTGGACGTTATCTCTCGCAGGTAATTTTGCAATTTAGATATATTCTATTTTATAATATACGTACAGATGTACTTTATGAGTCAGCCAATTTATATATGGAAAAAATATTGTATAGTAAAAATTACGTTAAAATTACATTTCTTTTTGCAATGTTCTTTT